GCCAACCTCACCTCAACTCAGTTATATTGAAAATTATTTATTCTTGTTATCGAGATTCTATCAAAGTTAGTTTTTAAGGTACTATGGGAATCCGATATTTCTTTTCTAAGTAGGGTCATACTATCATTGAGTTGGGAAACTTACTTGGATACTTGGACACATGGATGGTCCGTCCTCACTGGTTGTGCGAGCCCCAGGATGATCTCCATTATTTCCCAGTTTTGCTGTCTAGCCATTGTCGTTTCCCGCAGTCCCTAGGTCAACCAAGCCAAAATCTGGCCCAAGTTGTCACCACCACAGGCAGTCGCCGTCCTTGTGGATCAGAAGGAGATTTGCCACCATGCGACTAGTTCGATGCTAGGATGGCGACGAATCCTGGTAGTGGTTTAATCTTAGCTGGCTTCTTAATGGAAATTCTCAACGTGAAAGATTCTGCCAGGAGGTGAATCCCTCCGCTGTACATCGCAGCCTGACACCCAGGAGCATCTGCCAGCCACAATGAGGCGGTAAAGCTTTGGGAGGGGAGTAGGGAAACAAGAACTATAAAGCAACTTGAAGCAGTTTGCTGAGAAATGGTTGCAGATTTAGTGAGTTTCCATTTAATTCTTAGCCGGTACCCCGTTTTTTGGATGAACAAGTCAAGGTAACGGTTGGATAGTTTCCCTTCTTTTCTGCAGAGTTCAATTACAATGCAGCGAACAACATAAAGAATAAAAGATAAAGCTCTCGGCGTTGAGCAATCCCTGAGCGGTGCGCCGTGCATTCGACTTCATTAAGTATCGTTTGGAGGTGATTGAATGCATATCTGGCCTTTACAATAACTCGCGGTGGCCTGTCGATATATCGAGCCAGTGCTGCTATCCTCCCAGACAAGTCCGCTACCAATTTGGCGACCCCGGAGGGATGGAAGGCTTGGTGGGTCATGGGCGCGGAAAACGTCTTCGCATACACAGGGCACGCCTTCAGCCACTGCGCCACACGCGCCCTCAGCATGCTTTTAACAAAAGTGAAATGATTTCAATCAGCTGTTGAACTACTATATAAAAATACGGACGCTGCATCTAGCGTACAAGTAGAGATCGTAGATCTAGTTAGAAGAATCCGTGACTCAGAGCAATAGCTGATTAAGAGCGTCCACTGAAAAGCATTCACTCTAGGTGAGTCGCCTTGACCAGCATTTGGATTAGTTTTTTTGGATAACATTTCTAATTCAAGCTAAAGAAAAATTTTTCGTTAAAGTTTTACTTCTGCGGGAACACCGAAGGCGATAGAAATTATGTCATGTAGGCGGACCTGTAATTGACGAGTGTTCTTCCAGACTGTACGACGATGTGTAAGACATTTAATATAAGCTCTATACAAACTCTAGTGTTCACGAACATGTTAATATTCGCATCACAAGGAAGCGAAGAAAGACATAAGAAGAAAGCATCGGATCGTGAATGTACAAATGCTAGCCAGTCTAATAGCCTGCGAATTTGACTAGAAAGTAGAGGATCGGTGCTGTTGTGAAGAGATATTGGACTCAAATCCAGGTCTCATTGTTTACCAGACATCGACATTACACGCTCAGCTCCTCCCTCCAGACGTTGTAGTCGATGTTCGGGATCTCGTCACATCTGAATAGGAATTCTTGATAGAGACAGTACGGTTCGTGTCACACCTCTATCAATATATTGCTCTGCTTCTATGATTTCTCACTTAATTTCAACACGAATAGAGTATTTTCGAAAGAAGTGCCATGTTTTTTATTCAGCGAAGTTCCGGTAAACAATGAAAGATTTCCATATTTAAAAACTATGAGGAGTTTTAACTCCTTTATTTACTTCCCATTCTTTTTAATGGCAGGGTATATTGCGAAATATAACTTCAACAATGCTGAGATATTTGCAAAACTCCGGTCGCAGGTTTCTGTGGTGGGGAACGAACGCGCTATTGTCCTCTCCGGGGAGTAACGCGTTCACCACCACACCATGCGGGTCCTTCGTTTCGCCTGTCTCTCAGTTAGTTCTATCGATCACTGCCATCAGCAATCATCCGTCAACGGAATTGATCTGCGGAGCCCAAATTGGCATTGAACCTAGTTAACCTGAGGCTATAGTTATAACCATAATCTTAACCTTTTTATTTACTGCCTATTTTTTTTGACGGCCAGGATATTTTGCGATAATAAATGAACGATAGAACTAGCTGAGAGACAGGCGAAACCAAGGACCAGCATGGTGTGGTGGTGAACGCGTTACTCCCGGAGAGGGCAATAGCGCGTTCGTTCCTCACCACAAAGACCTCCGTCCGGGGTTTCGCAAATATCTCAGCATAATTGAAGTTATGAAAAGTCTGTTGATAGTTGCGAGGAACACTTGTTTTTCTAATCGACTGTACCAGTGTCATATCAACGTGCACAAGCAACTAATGACGCCGTTAGGTAGGAAACTAGCGGAAAGAAAGGCAAATCAAGGGCTTCAGTAGTGCAGTACGGAACATTTGAGCCCGTGGAAAGTGTTGTAGTAGTTCGATCAGACCTGGGGCTGAGTTCTGCGAATACTTCAGCACCAGTGTGGTAGTAACAAGTATGTTTTTATCAGTTTTTGCGTTCGCAAGAAATCCGCCTGTTCTATAAATCCTGAAGGCGTTTTCATAACCGTATCTAGCATTTTCTTAATATCTCTATAACATAACGGGCGAACTTGCTTTCTTCGACAACAGACGATGATTTTTTTCCCACTAGAGTATTTAACCTCCCAACTGTTTACCGCCTCATCGTGGCTTGGAGGTGTTCCTGGGTGTTGGACTGCGATGTACAGCGGGAGGATTCGTCCCCCCGGCAGGGTCTCCCAAACTGGGAAGGAGTCCGGCGTTTCCATCAGGAAGCCGAGCTAAGAGTAAACCAATACCATTATCCGCCACCGTGTTGGTATCAAAGCCACATGGTGACGAATCTTCCTATGATCCACAAGGGCTGCGACTGCCTGTGGTGGTGACGACCTGGGGCACACTTTGACACGGATAAACTCGGGTCTTCAGGGAACCACAACGGCTAAACCATTAAGTCTCTAAAGAAAGAAATGGAGTTTATGCTGGGCCACCACAAATAGTGAGGATAGGCCGTTCAAGTATCAAGTAAATATCAGGAGTATTTAAAGAGTTGGAACTCTGTGGACCTGTAGAACTGATTTCGCTCTGTCGTCTTGGTGGTACATGTGTAGCTTTCATACAGCACCCTCCCACATTTAAACATGCTTAGAATTAAAGTTTTAAAGAGTTGTCAACGAAATCTAATTTTTTAAAGTTTTACGCAAGAGCAAAAGCCAGAAACACCTGCGATACATTGAGGAACACCATCGTGTTCTGTAGGACGAAATCCTCTGGCTCAATTGCTTTTGACTTCGAAATACGAGTCTTGAGAATACGTATTATGACTCGAGAAAATCACAATCTAATAATATAACAATAAGATAGCCGGTATCTTGTAGAAGAAGAACTGTGGGTTCCAAAGATTTTATTCCAATTAGTAAAGTGTGACATGACTTAAGAGAAGTTGTTTTATGATTGGAAGTATTGTTTAAGTTTGCATCAAATGCATTGTATCCAATACATAACGGGACTTATGTGTTAATGTCCGTAAACGGCACAGAATGAATGGCTGTACGGAAGGAAAATCCCAGTTCTAAGCTCTGCTGGTTGAGTTGCCGCCGTGTATTCATAAGCTCATAAGAAGTTGTTACCAAAAACACTTTTTCTAAGGTTCTGCTATGTCCGTCTTTTCAGAGTCGCAATAATACGAATCAAAAAAAGTACAATAAACACTACTATTACTATCTGCTAATCTTTGCCTCCTTAACTATAGTTCTCTTGTTTTGCCACGACGAAATTGTGATTTTCTGGAGCAACGGCACATATTTCTAGCTTCGAGGATGGTGAGATTTTTTCGCAAAATTTGGACCCCGAGCCAGATCGAACAGCGATTTCCCTTTCCAGGGCTCGTGCATTACACGCTGCGCCATGGAGGGCCCTGCTCTACGTTTCTCTCAGCTAGTTTTCTACCTAATGATGCCATCAGCAATCACCCGTAAGCAGGGGGTTGATCTGAGGAGCACAAATCGACATTGAACCTAGTTAAGCTGAGGCCGTAGTCGAAATCACGATGTTGCTTGTAATTCACATCATACTCTACCGTGAAGAATTATATTAGGCAGAAAATTAAAAGATTAACATCGTTTTTAACTTTGCTGGTTCAAATCTCGCATTTAGAACAAGAAAACAAGTCGACAAACTGGATTACATCTAGTATGACAATGGTGGTGTTCCCTAATGTATTGTTTTGTTCACGGTAGCCTCATTGGGGATTTCAAAAGACTAACTCTCTTTCATTTTTTAAATCTTAACTCCAGACACATTTAAGTTTAAGAAATTGCTGGATAAAAACTATATATACAAGTAAAGTGATAAAGCGAAGTGTCTTCTATAAACCTATACGATTTACAAGTTCTCAAATGCTCTAGTGATCGAGAAATTATCGTCATTTGTCGAAAAACCAGCCTGGGGACTTTACTTGGATGCATGAACACTTGGACGGCCCGTCCTCACTGGTTGTGCAAGCCCAAGTATATTCTTCATTCTTCAGAGTTTTGCTGGTTTAGCTATTGCGATTCCCTGGAGCTCCAAGGTCGACCTGGCCAAAGTCTCTCCCATGTCGTCATCATCACAGGCAGTCGCCGCCCTTGTGGATCAAAGGGATATTTGCCACCGTGCGACTAGTTTGATTCCCCTTTTGTATTAATATTTAGTTATTCATTTATTTCCCAATTTAATGAGGTCATTACATACCTCAAGCGGCTTAATGCAATCGAGGTCAGCCATATCCACTGAAAAAGGCGTTTTTATAATTCGAAATAGAATATTGCTCATCTGCTTTGTGATTTCAGTTAGTATTCAAACAGAACATTTTGCCGGTTAGGTGGTATTTACTAACTTTTTTACAGCCCAAATTCTACTATTCGTCAAGACGTTATCAATTTAATGTCATGCAGCTGGAACTGTACTGACCGCATGAGTGAGTCTCTGGACGGTTTGAAGACGTTGAACGCACGACGTGGGACGAACGCGAAGTTCTCGCCAGAATCGCATAGAACCCGCGCTATGGTGATCTTACGAATTTGATGCAGCTGATCCAATGTGAACACCTTCTCATTCTCGAAGTAAAACCTAGAAACGTTTTCATTCACATAGGACAGAATTGCTCATACAAAATACCGCTCGAGTGAGGTTATAAACCTGGACGAATTCAACGGATAAAACATTTGCGAACTTCTCCTTCCCGGTGGCTAATCAATATGTCTAGTCTTGAAACACATATAATTGTGTTGATCTCAATGGCAACTCGTTATCTTCTTAATATTCCATTTTTATAGCACAATGCGAAAAAAGTGTCACTTTGGAAATGCTCAGGCACGCCCTGGATTTCACACACGTTCGTTGATTCTACCGCAGACCTCGGAAAAACCAACCCCTCTATCCTTGAGGAGTCGGAAAATTGATGTCAGCCTTGATGCTTCTTTCGTTTCATCCAACTTCAGCTGAACGTTACTCTCTCCTATTTCATCATACTCCACATTTATCTTGTCTGTTTTGGCATTGTCTTTGATAAAACAACCACGTTATCTCAACAGCTGAATGGGAGGCAAACAGTTCGTAGACCAAGATGCCTACGTATCCTCAGAAAAGAAATTCTATTACTTATTGTACCGTATTCTAAATTCTCCATTTTAATAATAAAAGCGTACTGAAAAAGATACGTATTTATTATCGGCTATTCTAAAATGCTTTCATAATGCAAAAAAAAATCCACGAATTCGTTACTTAAAGCCTTAGATTCACCTCTGCTTTATGAACCCAAAGTTAAACATCTTGTAGTTCTTGGACTATTAATTTAATGAGCTTCGCGTATAACTAATGTTCCCAGTAATATATTGTACAGCGTACCTATCTCCATTCCTACTGCGTTTAAACTGCTCGCCGATGACGCAGGCCAGTGTAGGACCTACTAGAGAATCTTTCACTGGGTCCTCCAACAAGGAGCCCACGTACATGTCAATAGCATCTGAATGCTTTCAATCAAAATGACCAATCCGACTGTGTCATTTTGGACCACTTACTCACCTACATGTTTATACATAACCCGAAGGTTTTCGATGACAACCTTATTTGTGATTGTTTTGTTGAGGTCGTCGAACTCTTTGATTTCGGGCAAACCGCAGAATGTTCTCCAACGTGTAAACGCTGGCACGCCATGGTCCCTTAATGAAAATAAAAAGATGAGTTCCACATACGCACGTGTATGGTTCCAATAAACGGCGAATAAAGGCGAAAGCTCGCGAATACATGTCGCTTTTTCTCATTTATTTTGTCTCTACGATAAGGCAGAAGTACTGCAAAACTAGACGCACCTTCCTCTTTGGATGTTGATCGATCCAAGATCAGAATTTCCAAAGATCCTCTCAGTAACCGCAGGTGTGAGTCTTAAGAAAAAAACAAGTAACTCATCACCGAATTTTCCTGATGATACTTAAAGCCACACCGTTGAGGCATTTTGGCCGGAAGCGTGATAAAACCACGAAGCAATGGGTCGATACCATTATTAAGAATGTGAATGCTCTTGAACATGCCATCGTTGAACGGGATTCCACCAACATTTTGAAATTTCTCATCCAAGAACGGATAGAACTCCTGCAGAAAGCCTTCCACATTCGATGGTTAACTTTGAAGAGGTTCCACTCACCTGAATCATGCCGTGACCGAATCGGAAGGCACAGCTGGTGAATTCGTTTGCCACTGAGGGATCAGTATTCTTGTCATAGCCAGTATAATCACCAATTCGCCGCTCAAATTCTTCTCCAAGAACACGTGGTAAATACTCCTTCAAATTATACTATTAAATTTTCCACCTCGTAACCTCTTGACCACAGATATCTTTCATAGAGGGATCTCCGGCCGATTAATTGGTTGGCAAATTAGTGCATCCCCATGTGACAAATAGAAGTTTGGTCGCAAACCAGAAGTGACCATCGTGACCTTATGCTTCACCAGAGACGCAGGCAGAACTAGGAGGTAGACTCTCTCTGTGCCGATTTGGCACATGTCTTTATTTTTTGCAGGGACGTATTCATGCATGCATGCGTGGTTGCGTTCTCGTTCACGCGGATGATATTCCATGAGTCAACTCGGTCAAACGCCAGCAATCAAGTGAATGGGATGCATATGAGAAGTGGCAAGGACTTCCCTCTTACAAATAAGTTCCTCGTACCCTTTGAAAAAGAATGGTAAGCGTATACCAAGCTCTCACGTAGAGGGCTCAGAAAGCCATCCGTGGATATCAAACGGTAGAAACAATAAAATAAGTTGGCCTCAATCCCCTGACCCCGAAAGAGCCCCGATACGGCAGCGTTGGGCAGCAAGAGTACGAATGGTATGCTAAAATATCAAGGCGATTTTACGCCACCTACATCTCGAAGGACTAACGTGACGAAGTGGGAGAACAATGTACGTTCATTTGCATCTAAGTCCTCAATAGAGGTGGTTATCACGCAAGCAAGAAGGACGTCATCGGACTGACCGAGACGAAAGGCGCAGCGCATTCAACTTCGTCTATGACACCGGCGAAGAACTGTTTCCCGGAAAATGCGACAGTAGAGGAGTCGGTGGCGCTGGTGTTCTCGTCAGCATGAATTCGGCCATAAACATTGATTCATTCGAACAACTCACAACCCGAATCGGACGTTTACGGTTAAAGAGATGAGGATCGATACCGGCTTTGAGAATCTTCTTCTTCTACGCATCAACATCAAACCATGAAGAAGAAGTTGAAGCGTTCTATATGACCTTGGAGAAGTTCTACAAAGAAGAATATATATTATTTAAGGTCATTTTGAAGGCTTTCACGCTAATATTGGACCCAGAAGATCATCAGATGAACGTCACATTAAAGCCTAAGGACTAGAATGGAGCAACCAGACTGTGCGGCTGTTTAAGTTTATCGTGATTCCCAAAATCATGGTAAACTGTAGTTCCAGAAGCCCCACTCTCAACGCAAGAGGTGGTAGTCTCCCATTGGAGAGCATCATAACGAAATAAACCACATGGCAGCAAATTGAAGAATTTACATACCCGATTTCGCCGCTGTCCCAAAATTCTACGCTGGATTGGTCAATTCACCTCTCCCATGCAAGATCCCATTTCTCGCCCTTCACGCTAGCGCTTTCAAAGTTAGAAGTCACCAGTGTGCGTCTCTCTCCAAAAATACTCATGCTGATACGCCATTAAAATCGCACGAGCTACAGACAACCTCTAAATCACGTCCAAACTTTCAAAACAATTCAGTTGGGCGATGAAAGAAGATCTTAAAGGAAGAACAGCAGCAGTTATGGTCAAAGCTGCAGAGGCTGGAAAAGCATTGGCAAAGTTTGTCGAAGCTTCAATAAATGCAAAATGACGACAATTGCATTCCGACGCCCAGGCGGAACAGTTACAGCGTCCAGAAAGACAACGGGGAAAATCATTCACGAATACTACTCAGATCTCTTCGATAACCACGTCCACCTTCCGTCATATGAAATAAAGGAGGATGGATATGTTGTACCACCGAGGTCCGGACAGGATAAGACCAAAACACCTGAAGAACCTTCCGCCAACCCTCGTAAACACACTGGCTCGGCTGTTCACACGTTACCTTAATCGAGATGTAAGGTCCCTACTTAGTGGAATACCAACAAGACCGTGTTATTGTTCAAGAAGGTGACCTGCACGATATCGGCAACTATCGCCCAATCTGCTTGCTGTCTGTCGCCTACAAACTTTTCACTCGAATCATCCTAAAGAGGACTGACAGAACACTGGACGAAGGACAGCCATGTGAGCAAGCAGGGTTTCGAAAAGGATTTAGTATTATGGACCACATCCATACGAAGACTCATTGAAGTATCGCGAGAGTACAAAAGCCCGCTCTGTCTCACTTTCATCATTTTAATCGAGAAATCACAATGGTGAAAGCATTAGCCAGCGGAAAGGGTAATAGCGTGAACGAACTTCACCACAGACACCTGTGGTCTGCAGTTTTGCAAATATTTCAGCGTCGATGTATTTCACATAATACGCTGCAGTGAAAATTGTATTAGGCAATAGATAACAAGCTAGCACTGTGTTTTTGTCTCAGCTGAGATAAAAGCAGTCATGGAAGCCCTGTACACCCAGGGCTTCTCTACTCAGTATATAAAGATTCTTTGAGAGTTATATAAAAGCTTCGCAGCCAAGATATTACCATTTTACAACGATAATAATACGATAATACGATAATACCGATGTCAATAGAGGAGTTAAGCAAGGTGGTACCATCTCACCAGAATTATTTACTGTCATTCTGCAGAACGTTCTGCGAATATTGAATTGGGACAACATGAGATTGAAAATTGACAGTCGCCAACGGCACCATGTTCGGTTTGCTGATGACATTGTTCTTATAAGATCAAGTATTATGCAGGCGGAACGAATGCTTGCCGATTTTGATAAAGCCCGTGGGAGGATTAGTCCCAAACCAAATCTCACAAAAACGATGTTCATGAGGAACGGATTGGTTTTGTGTACCCTATTCACGCTGAACGGAACAAATATCTCGGAATGCTCCAGTTACGTCTATCAAGGTCGGGAAATAAACGTGATGAACGGCTTACGCCAGTGTTGAGCAGAAGGAAGCAAGCGGTCTGGCGTGCATTAAGAGCATGGAGGATGTAGTGAAGCGAACAAAGAACAACCGACTTCGTATTCATCTTTTCGACCTCGCGATTCTCCCTACTTTAACTTAAGCCTCAAAAACTTGGTCGCTACGTAAGCAGGATGAAGGATCGCTTAGCATTGTAAACCAAGCAGTCGAAAGTACGATGGTAGGAGTATCCTCTATCAGGAAAGTGAAGGAACGGATGCGAAGCTCCGATATAGTCAACAATCAAAACTCAAACACGCTGTTCTAGATGTCAAATTGTCGAAGACAAGATGTGTCGAACACGTAATTCGTATGAAAGTCTACCGATAGACAAGAGCCATTGACTAAATCCCTCGGAATCTCAAATGCACACCAGGAATGTAGTCGACCCGTTGCTCAGCGTTATTCACAAAAATAATGGCCAATGAGTCCCTAGAGCGAGCACAGCCCACTCGGCTACTCTTGCAAGTGACAGCGAGATATGTAAGATTTACTGGCGCCAGCTCGTCACTTGACGGTCAACGGGACGACAGTTGACATATAGATCTTACGAACCCTTTTTTCTTAAGCAACACAACAATAGAGATCCCTTGAAAGAGCAAATTAATCAATTTGTATCACTGGCCACTTGTTTAGCATCTATAGAAAGCTACAATGAAAATTTCGCCGAAGTTTGAGGGCTTTCTTCACTTAAGGCCATTCTAATTATAACTGACATAGTAGGTTATCTTCTGTATGATAGCGCCAATGATCTTCCTCGTTTCGTGGAATATTCGCTCCTGATCCCAATGAGGATTCACCTGTTGCAGTGTGGAGGCAATTCTAAATAAATGCTGTGAGTTTACTCAGTGGTTTTCCTAATAGTTGCCAACTTTTTTTTCTTAATGACTTAGCCAGATAAAACATAACTAGTTAAAAAACTGACATGCATGGGGAAAAAATTTTGAGGGTTCGTATATCTCTCTTTCGGATTTCCGTTGGTGGAATACCTTACTATTCCGAGCCATGAACTCACGGGAATTTTACTTTCTTTTATAGATATTTACAAACAAATACTTATTTATAAACTACTGGATTTCGTAGAGAATAAAATAGGGTTAGTAGGTAGGCAAACGAATTCATGCGTACTTGTTGTGTTCACGAACGAACAAGGTGTGAAGAGCTGCCAAACCGACAAAAATATTTGCCCTGTCGTCACCAGCCACTACGTTCATATTCGTATCTGAAAGCACCACAACTATGTCCACATAACAGGATAATCTGTCCATTGGTCTTTTTTTTAGCAATTCATCAAAGCGTTTGTGGAGCAGTGGTTATGGGCACGCAATAGACACATGAGATCATGTTCGACATCGCCTTGGGACCGACCAAGTCCCGATTCGTCCAGGAAAGACAAATTGGTGACAGACTGGACCAATAAGGCCTATGATGAGATATGGCAGAGCTATCCTACGATTAAAGGGAGATCAACCCCCTAGCAATTAATGAGAGAAGAATAAGATGAAAAAATCATCAATTTGCATGCAAATACGGGAATACGAGTACTGCCGTGGATGACAACCACCTGAAAGGAGAAGTACTGTGATAAACACAGCATTTATAGACGGACTATATAAATAAAAACAATTCAATGACTTACTTATTTACAGTTGGAAATACACGTGACCGCCAGCGTACAAAGCAGTCAGAAACTTATTCAGACCATCATACAACACAAAAAATACCCACCGATTGGTGGAAACACCCTGTTTTTGACGAGTTTCGTCTTCAGAAAGGCGCCACGTCGGAAGAGAAACTGATCACGATCGCTGCTGCCATAGATCTGAACTCGAATGAATAAGCTGGTATACGGGTAGTTCGTTCACAAAATTTTCGACCGATCTATCATGAATAAGTCGGTTATATACTCAGTAAGTTGTAAGACAACGATCTCAAACTAGCCATAGATCCGTCGACGAAGGCGGTGTTTTCATTAAACTGCTCACGGATGTTGCTCTGACCAGTTCCACAGACCGGGGTTGACCGAGCAACAGGTAGGCACATGAATCGTCCAAACCTGAACCAGCTTGCACAAAAATGTGGCAGTGAAATAATGCAAGCAACAGTGTACGGTGAAACGTTCAAAAAGGACAGTTTGAAAAAGACACAACATCCCCGAAAAACTACGGTGGGAAAAAAATGGAATTCATACTGATTTTTAGCTTTTAGAAAACTCTATTCATTAGGCTTTTATTAGTTTGGTTTCTACACAACTTGGACCTCTGGTGTTAAAACAGTACTTTATCCTAAGCGAAAAATGTGTTGACTAAGCCTTACCAGTACATTGAAACCCTACCGTTCTTCACTCGGTTATTTGAATAAAGACGATTATCCTCGACCAATCTTATTGAGCTTCAATTCGTAAAACCAAGTTACTGCCGCTAGAAACATGTATGCCATATAAGAACATTCGAATTAAGATGACAATGAGCTAGTCATACGTGTGCTTTCAACATGAGGATTTGATCATGAGCACCGCCACGGCACCCACAACTAAGAATGGCGTGGAATGCGTGAAGATGATTTTTCAAGTCGGCTCCTTTCTCCAGAAATAATGAAGTTACTGCGAAGTCAGAATTGTGAATTCTTTAGACCTTTCTCGAAAGCAGTTTACCAGAAACCTCCGAATCGTCGGTGTGATGCGGACATCAATAATGACAACGCTGATCTGCACACCGCAAATCTAACAGAAATTTCTGTCTATTAATTCCATTGAGAGAATCCTTAGTACCTTAAATACTACCAAGATCTCACACCATTTCAGATTCGTCGTTTCCGCGAACTTTTTAAAGTGCTATATCGAATGAATTCACTTCCCACTTCGATACTTGGATTACCCGTCCTCACTGGTTATGTGGACCCCAGCATAATCTCCACTTTTTGAAGTTCTGCTGGTTTAGCCACTGTGCTTCTCTGGAGTCTTGAGGTCAGCCAGGCCAAAGGCTGCTTAAGGTCGTCACCACCACAGGTAGTCGCCGCCCTTGTGGATCAGAGGGAGATTGCCGCCATGTGACTAGTTTGATAACAGAATGGTGGAGGATCCTGCCATTGGTTTACTCTTATCTGAGTTTCCTGATGGAAACGCCGAACTCTTTCTCAGCTTGGGAGACCCTACCGGGGAATGAACCCTCCTCAGTGTGTCGCAGCCCGACACTCAGGAACACCTTCCAGCCACGATGGCGGTAAACCGTTTGGAGGGTCACTTCTCACTAATGATGTTAAATTGAAGATTTGACTTCAAAATTGAAATGCCCTAGAAATAATTCGGCTTTTAATCAATGTAAAATTAGAAATTCATCTTACTAATGGGATAACGTTACCAAAATTTATGAAAGGCACATAATTGATTAATTATGGCTGGATATGGCTTACACGGCATGGCCTATTACTGTACTCTTGTTTTTATTTCGAATGCTATACTATTTATACATCATCGCAATGCATAATACTTCATGCACATTTGGCCTGTATAATTGAATTGTAATGTAAATCGTATTTCTCACAAAGTTTACAGGTTAGAATTTCAGGCATCAAAGCACAGATGTCGACAAGTCTACTTTCACGAGTCCAAATTCGGACGTAGTGCAGGCGGCTCAATGCATTGAGGCATGCGGCGAAGAACGTGTTAACGAACGCACCGTACCACGCTGGCTTCAAAAACTTTCCAGTGGTGAATCCAACGTTGAAGCTGAAGAAGGCTGGAGTCACCTTTTGCTAATAACGACGATAAATCGAAGGATTTGATGCACAGTTGGAGAGATCTTCCTCCACGATAAAGCGCAGCCACATATACACAACCGGGTAAAACCTTTTTCTCGCAGGCAAAATTGTGCAAATTCTGGCGGTATTCTACCTCAACCAATTAAGTTTGCTTTTAGCTGAGATGCTTTAAAGGGTCACCTTGAAGATCTGCATTAATTCCCTAAAAACGTAACACTAGCTTTCTGTTATATTAGTTCAGCAAAAGTCGGTAGTATAGAAAATCATGATCGCTCGCAAGCAATCACTCTACGCTGAGATCAATAACAATGATTTTTCAAAAAAAGAAGCGACGATAAATGGGGGAGGCTTAAATTATAACAAAAATAACAACAATGATGCTGGCATGATTGCAAAACTCCGGACCTAAGGTGTCTACGGTTGCGGTCGAACAGGCCCTTTCCGGGCGCGTACGCGTTCACTACGACACCATGCAGGTCTTTCGTATCGCCTTTCCCTCAGCCGTGTTTTATAGGGTGCTATGCTAGTTATAATTCCCATCATACCCTGCCGTGAGAAAAGAATAGGCAGTAAATAAGAAGTGATTACATTGTGATTTATACTACAGCTTCAGTTCAACTGAGCTCAATGCCGATTTGTGCTCCCAAACCAATGCCGCTGACGGGTGATTGCTGACAGCACTTATAAAATACAACCAAGAGAAAGGCGAAACGAAGGGATTTGCATGGGTGGAAGAGGGTAGTGAACGCGTTAGCCCTTAGAATGGGTAATAACGTGTTCGATGCCCACCGCAGACACCTGCCGCCAGGAGTTTTACAAATATCTCAGCGTTATTGTGGTTACATTTCGCATCATAGTGCCAATAAAAAGTGGTCACATTAGGTCAAAAATATCCCCATAACCAGTATAGCCATCATCTATGATTTACAAGTAGCTCTTTGTTATGCAGAACTATAAAAACAGCTGTGATCACGGCTCTGAGGAAGGCGAAGTCGCCGAAACGTCAGCCATCGATCAATAACATCAAAAACAACGACAACGACAACGACAACGAAGATCTGTGCCAACCTCGCGTCAGCTTAAGAAGATCAGTATATAAGATCACATAAATAAATATATCAACTATCTATGCCGAGGTTCATAGAAAGTCAGTCTTTCGAGTTATAAAAACAGCTCTTGACTTATGCTGAAAAAGTGTTTTAGATTGCTATTCGTCACAGATTATGGTGATCATAACGAATACTGTGACGAGGAAAAGGTGCTTACGTCGGATCTGCCCTGGAAAGAAAGACGGAAAAGCATCGGCCTTGGTTCGAAGTGCACGCGGCGCACTCCTGGTTGTTCAGCATGGTGGTCTTGGACATGTCGTGAGCAATGAATTGACCCCATTGCATCAGGAGCGCATTAGAATGGTGTGGGATCTGAAAAAAAAACGGTCACTTTCCGTCGTAACATCTACCAGTTCAGTTCGAAGTGGGCTAAGTGCACCTGTGCTGGGGAAGAGAGCAGCAGACGTGACGCGTCACGGGAGGATGGGCGTGTCCGAGTGAATGACGCTGAAAGTCAATGTACGCACGGATTTCTCGGCTGTTTTGTGATATGAATGTGATCGCTGTCCCATTCAAGAGGGCATTTACTCATATCGTCGGTACTACAGGAGTAGAAGGACTTCACTTTTCACTTCCATTTTGACTGAGGCTTTTTGTGGTCCATATTTTGAGCACTCAAAAACGCATCCCTTTTGAAACCTGGATTCCTAGTAGATATGATTAACCTGAGTGTACTGCCTTAGAGCACTTGGTTGCAGCACTGGGAACCTTTTGATGGAACACGTACTGGTTAATGACGTGTGAACAAGAACGTTCGTCAAAGAGGAAGTAGAAATTATTATAAACTAAGGGAGATCATGTTTTTTTGGATTGAAGCAGGTGAACTCGAAGAATGGATGCTTTGTCTCTTCGGCTCTGGAACGTCTTTCGCTTTCCTTACAGTTTTTTCATGAGTATGATTTGCAGCTTGTGTCTATAAAAATTGCAGTTTTCACATCGGTTCGTTCAAAATTTTAATTAAGCGAGTAAGAAATACATAGAAGGCGGTCTTGTGTCGTATTAAACAAACATGAACCCATCTAGTACAAAAAAGCTGGACTATAGGTGCAACCATGGCTGGCTAGACAAATAAAGGATAAAGCTCTCGGCGTTGATCAATCCGTGAGTGATGCGCCATGCAATCGACTTCATTAAGCATCGCTCGGAGTTGATTGAATGCATATCTGGCCTTTACAATAAATCGCGGTGGCCTGTCGATGTATCGAGCCAGTGCTACTTTCATTCTTGACAAGTCTGCTAACAATTTGTCGACCCCGAAGGGATGGAAGGCTTGGTGGGCCATGGACGTGTGTGCTGCAGGGCGACCCTGCGCTAGACACGCTCTGGCTAGATAGCAGTGAATAAAAATTTGGTGATTTTCGTGACTTTCAATTGTGTGATGCACACCAGCGGCTTTGACGAGTAACAACTACAAGGAAATAATTCTCTACCACACTCTGAAGTTACTCCATGAGTAGTTCGATTAGGCGTGGCACAGATGATGACTAGCTAAGAAATTTTGGTCTTTAAAAAAAAACATCCGTTAGAAAAACCAAAATCTCTATTAAGAGCAAAAGTATCAAAAGGAATAAAATAGTTCAAGAAACATTCTAATAGTACATTTGTGTGGTCGCAATGGTCCGCCATCAGCAAGAAAAGTATTGGAAGAATTTAAGAAAATATCCCAGAAGCGATTTTAACTAATTATCCTTTACTGTATGCTCCAAAAGTTTCGCGGCGGATGCAAAGATAAGTCGACGACAAGCAAGATTGAATATGAATATGTCATAGTTATCACAAACAAAGGGCGCGCGCGTGCACACAGTGGTCGGAGGCGCCCTGCAACACACGCTTGGAATCGATCCCCCACTCATGACCCACCAAGCCTTCTATCCCTCTGCGGTCGGCAAATTAGTACCAGACCTATCTGGGAGGATAGCAGCATCAGCTCGATGCATTGGTAGGCCACCACGAGTATTGTAAATGCCAGGTATGCATTTAATCACCTCCAAATGATTCTTAATGAAATCGAATGGATGGCGCATCCCTCAGGGATTGATCAACGCCAAGAGATTTATCCTCTATTCTTTATTTGTTATAAACAATCGTAAGCTGTCTTATTAGAGGAATTGAGCATCAGTTTGTAAATATGGTGGCACAGGAACAATCCTGCTATACCTAAATTTTCCTTCTCACAGGAAAGACGGAAATGTCGAAGGCTCTGAGGTTTTTAACAAACGAAAGTGTACAGAAGAGTTTTTAAAGACTGTTAAACTGCATTTGAAACCATTAGTCACATCCTCAGTCATCATCCAAAGCTACTTAACCATTTCTCTCACTTTGTACTTTCCATGTGAGGAATTTTAGCAAAAAATTTGATTTACACTATGACCCTCTAACTTCCATCACGCAACACTTTATCGCGGTGTTTATTTATTTGGATACCTTAATGGGCTTATCTCCACAAATCTGAGTGCCCCGACTATTGCACAGGTTTTTTCCTGTTGCATTGGGCAAGTTTTTATCACAGTTTTCCTGAGATATCAATGCTTTCATAGCCTTCCAAAGTAGCCAGAACAGGAATTTGCTTGTTGTTCTGGATTGGAAGGAGATTTTCTGTTTTGCGAGTGACATCCTTCCAATACGTCATAGATTTCGGTGATCAGTCTAGTAGTTCATAGAGAATGATGTAATAGACCGGATCCAGTTTGCTTAAAACAATACATCCACGACTGGACTTTTCTCAGTAGTTCAGCAGCTGCAAACGTTAGATCTCTTTTATAGTAATGTTGTCTAAATAAGATGTCGAGCCCATTTACATGGATAGCCCTGCTGAAAGATGAAGATCGGATGTCGTAGTTCAACTCCCAAGCGCGCACTCTTTTGATAGTGTAGCACTAAAAGAGCACGGCGATTTTCAGCTCATTTCGAAACATATTTAAATTCTCCCTAAGCGTTATTCGACATCTTTCATGTCATACGAAAACCTCTGATGATTCTTAAAGTTAAACATAAACCTTTCTCCTTCATTATTAGGACTACTTATAACTTCCTAGTCCTTCCTTTTGATGTGTAACTGTTGAAGATTGCACGAAGCAAAGAATCATTGATGAATTAAAGTAAAAACGATGAAGAGAATAAAAAAGGAAGAACAGGGCTTGTGAAGGTCATGCACACTATGCACAGCGATTCTTTAGGAACTTATATAATTCAAAAAATTTCTCACGAACACGTCGGAGCGTTAAGACCGTTATCGTACATCGGTGTCTTGAGCCTCACCAAAGCACTAAATGCTGATCCAGCCAAGGGACGGTTCAGATTGTTACATGTGCCATCAAACGTTCGAAATCTGAGGTAGAAAATTTTTCCCACACGGCTACTTAACGTTGTTAACAACTCCTAAAATCGAATGATAGCAACCTCAAATGGTAGCAGAGGTTTCTGTTGCAGTTGGGAGATTGCTGAGTTGGTGCACAATTGAAGTTTGCATTGCTGTTTCTAACGTCATTGATAGAAAGTGTTTTGCGATGGGAAGTGTCTAAAAACCAAAATCCGCCTTCGAAAAGTGTTGTTAAATCTCTATGGCACTGATGGGAGTGATGTATGCTATCAGGATCTCACAAATCCAAAGCTTAAAACAAGCCTTCCCTTCGTGAGTAGTGACGAATGTGCAGTCTTCTTCACGAAATACACCGTCCTTCCCAGATCCTCCAGTGATACCGACTGTTCTGCCTGAAATAGTTGATATCGAGAAAATGGAAGCTGAGGAAGAAAAGACAAGCAATATCGATGCAACAGAGTAAGTCTTTGAATTGGTGAGTGTGCGGTCGGGAAGACGAGATGACGTGGGAAAAAGAAAAGGAGAGGGCTGTGATTGGAGTGATAATCTCCATGACAGTAGCTGGTAGTATTGATCATGATCCATAATGGTTTTTGAGTTAGAATAATTCCTAATTTCATAAGAACAATAGATGAAGAAACGAAAGAGTGTTATGATGGATAGAATGTCAAAAATGAATGAAATTCCTTTTGAAATAGGTCATGAGCAACGAAAACTTGCGAACCGATTCAAGCACTGTTATAACCGCAACACGAGAACTTTTATGGCATCACACATTTAAGGTTTGCCTAAGACTCCTTGAAAAGGAAAAAACAGTCCGAATGATAGCAAAAATGAAGGTCTTCTAACCGACATGACAGAAGACGTCTATGGCGGTGCTACGACGCGTGTGTCATGGAGACGTGTTCTCTGCATTACAAACTTTATTTACGCGATTTCAAGCTCCGGCTAGTCACAGCACCTAAGTGATAGTCTACTCTCTTTTTCCTACTTTGAGATTCTTTGCTTTAAAGTGATTGTCATTCTTTATTTCTATACTACGGTAAATTAGTCGACATAAATCGTGCAGTGAAGCAAAAACTTTCATGATCGCGACAAAGAATGTGCCTCAGAATCAGCGAGCATCGGGTCGCAAGTGTCAGGAATTCCTCATCGTCGGTCGAATGGCCAAGTGCCAAGCACGTGCTCACCTTTACAAGCCTTGCACGCTCGCGCACAGTTCGCCAGCATCCAGACAGCGTTCGTCTCGCACTCCCGGATCGCCGACCAGAAACTGCACAGCCGGTGCCGGTCGACGCACGCCATCGTGCCTGAATATGGACGACACTCCAGAAGGAATTACTTAACATCATCATAAAATCCAACTACGTCGTCACATTTTATTTCTACTGGTGCTGATGAGGTTCATAGCGATCATCGTTGTTAACGATAACACATTTCGTCACTTTTGTACGTCCTATATTAAAATAAATTTTCGAAGATAAATATTAACCACAACGTTGCTGAGATATTTGCAAAACTCTGGACCGCAGGTGTCTATGGTGGGGAACGAACGCGCTATTGTCCTTTCCGGGGAGATAAATATTAAATTCTAACATACTTCACTTGTTACTGGGTTCAGATCACTGGCGAAGACTCTTGCCTAATCTTCACTAATGATGCCAGATTATAAAAAAGAAATGGTCTTAGGAGACAACACATCACCACATTTTCTCAATGACGATATTACAAAGTACTGCACAGGAATCCACGCTTCTAACTAAGTTAAGTAATGCCAAGCTTATTTGAAAACTGATATGGGTAAAGGACTACCGCGAAATCTCCCTTTTAGGCACAACCCGACGTCAATTGAGCAAGAAAAAAATGGCTTAAAAATTAAGTATTCAGGAAAATTTAGGTCTCGCCCAGAGCCACTTGGAAGGGACAAAAAATTAAACACATAGGAAGAAGTAGGAAAGCACGTGCCGACGAACTTTAGCGCATACGTGATTGTTATAGTTTTAACAACTGTCCATAGTTTGAATAATGAAAGCACTTGTGGAGTTGAAACGTTAACAGGCTTAGAAAACAGATTCGTTGTACAAACCTTCTTGCGTCTGCCCTTTAGTTTTAAACTCCTTTAAGATTTAAAATCTTCAAGAAAAAAATTTAAAGCCGAATTAGGTTTTTCAGAATTTTTAACGCAAGCGAGGAGGCAGTAAACAACGACGCCTTCGAAGACATCATCGCGCCTCAATGAACGATATCTCGTGTGGCCGACCATTTAAGCGTTCGGATTACGACTCGAAAAGAAAAAACCAAAAGAAGCATTTTATAAGTAACAGAAACGAATTTGGTCGTATCTGAATAGAAAAAGTTATATTGGTGTTATCACCTTCGGGACGCATGCATTGAAAGCAATGCATGAAAAGATAAATATATTGATTGTACAATTTTTCTGTGACGACACATAGTTATACCGTTGCACACATCACAGGAAACAGGGCAATGGTCTTCCATCCATTCCTTGTTTGCCTGGCATTCTCCGATGGAACCCCAGAACTTGCAGAGATCATGCTGGTCGACGCAGCGACTTCTAAATTTCGAGTTAAAACCATTATTAGGTACTTTTTTAAACAAAATTTCGTCTTATCACATTGTGCCCGTGGCAACTCACGAGCTCCTGAATCGACCAGCTATACTACAAGCCCTTCAGGTTTTGATTACACAACCGTCATTTCCACAAATAAGAACTGATCTCGCTATCTGTTCGATTTATCATCTTTTTCACACTCTGTTTCTCTCTAACAGCGGTGGCGAGTCGTTTTTGCTAGTTAGAGTTGGCAACGTCGGAAAGGCCATAATTTATCGCCAGTTACATTTTTTTCGTAAAAATAGAGAACGAGAGAAGGTGAGTATGAAGTGATGACCCTAAACGTTTACGATGTCAGCAATTTGCGTGAATATTCCGTCCACTCTATCCGTTCTTCTATTTCTAATTTTTCTTTCTCACATGGTTTTTCTTACGGGACCTTTTACGAACGCAGAAGATATTTGCTGCATTTCATCATTTTTGCTGTATCCCACCTAATATTCTCCTGTGACCCTTCTTCTTCTTCAGAACCACCCTTTTTCGTCACTTCCTCTTCGGCAGTTTCTGACCGTTCAGCCGTTGTATCTTCAGGTTTCTGCGAAGTAGAAAATTTATGTGTACTCAGGAAATTTTCCTCTGTAAAAGAGAGCAACAAAGAAACCTCTTCCTCCTTTATGACATCTGCTTCTGTGTCCTGATCTTGTTCTGCAGATGGAGGTCCTCGTAGTTGGAATGCAGGTCCGTTCCTGCCACTTTCTAAAGTGAGAAAAGATTTAAGACCTCGTGCACCACGCATCACGTTGTTTAACATTCCATGTTGCTTCAAACCAACCTGCACTGGAAACAACACTGTTACCGTCTTCTTCAGCATGCGTCAGCTGTCTTCCTGAATTCACCGTCTTAACAAGGAAGGGTGTTAGGGATACAGTGATTTTGTTCTCAAATCTCCCACTGCCTAGTTTTTGAGGAATAGAAAAAACTAAATGTAAAATAACCAAGCTGTGTGGAGTGTTATTGTTCGCTAATTTTCAAGAAATGGTAAACGGTTTTTGTTGCCACCAGGATAGAAGAGCCTTTGTCTCGAACGAATTACATGAGGTCCCGCAAACCGTTTGAGGAACGGAAACTACTGCAGTTGTTTATTTTTCTGTAGAATGATCGGTCGTGAGATGAGACTGGTCATAGAACACACACTGGCGGTACTCGAGTTTACTAAGCGCATGAAAGGAAATCATAGTTTCGCAATACTGGTATCGAGCAGCGGAAGAAACGCTGATGACCACTAAAACATCGGATTCCTCTTAGCAATGCAAAATGTGTTACCAAGAGCGTGTTTAATTCAAGAAGTAGGAATCATGCGTAGGTTGATTACTTCATGCCGGTTGCGTGAGCTATAAAACACTGTTTGCATATCCCAATTCTAGGCGATTATTTGCTAAGTGCCTCGAAACGACAACAAAACGAACATGACAAAAACAAAATGACTTTCATTACAGTCAGCAAGAGCTCCAGCTACGGATTAGCTTTGAACGTGAATTATTCGACCCCAATGAAAATGGAGGATGTATTCGTACTTTGGTTTCTCAGCAGCTGGAGCGAATCCGTAACGCCCACAGATCGACAGTTCACTATAGCCCGAATTGAGCGGAACAGACGAATCGAATGAAGCAAATGACTGTCAACGGGATTTCATTGTGTCGAGAGACAATGCCTTATGACCAGATATGGTTAGCGAATCACTGACGAGAACATAAGTGCTCAGCATGGTTAGAGTTCAATGTAGAAAAGCGGATGAAAAAAACAATTGAAAAGTCTTTGGATCTCTGGTTCTAGAGAAATGGTTCAAGGAACTGACGATGCGGAAACAAACGATCACAGCTCACCTGCAAAAAAGACGATAATGAATATATGGTATTTCATGAGATGTCGTTAAGACGCAATGCGAGAACTCGTAGGGACCGCCGCCCGCTCCGCCCATACCCGGGCGCTTTCAGACGCCAGAAAGGAACGCGGTTCGTGGGATGCGCAGACACGAGCTGTCTCCCAGACAGTGAAGATGGTTAGGAGGGCAACCGGATGCACATATCACGACTGAAACGTGTAGATCACCAGTTGCGCAACCAGACCCACTTTGAGGGCTTCACGTATCCGAACTCGCAGACCACAGATGCCGCGGGTCTACGGTAAGCACTCGACTGGAAATGGATCGTGCTCGCAACAGTTGACCAGCGTGGCACTCAAAAATGCCCCTACAAACACTTCACTAGATGTCGTAGTAGCTAGAAAGTACATTTAAACTTGCAGAATGTTGTCCGATTTTAGAGCCGCACTTACCACGTCGGCAGCAACGATCTGAGAACAACTTCCTTCAAATCCGCTTTAAGGAAGTATAACCATGACTCGGTGACATCCACCATCCTTTACAAAATCAGCTACTTGCTTCTAAGCTGTTCGAGAAGAAAATGCCGGTGTGTTATTTTTGTATTCTAAGTGAAAATGGTTTTCGTGTCACCAAAATCATTGTAAAACCCGCTAAAACATTGACAACCACTGATACAGTAATTGAACACTGATAAAAGCACCTGATAGTGCAAAGGTTATCCAAAGGCATGAGTCAAAGCTATCATATTTGAAAGTATCGCATCTAGTTTCTGTGGAAAAATTTCAACATTGTCTCAATGACTACTCAGCTTGGAGCAGATGGTGTAGGATATCAATGATGATCGGAAAAACGTGGCTCAACTGTGCTCTCTTTTCAAGGTCAGATTTTCTTCGTATACCAGACTTTGCAGCTATGTCTGCTCTATCATTCATGTTCGTTGTCTGGAAATGATCCAATTGAAATCGAGAGTTTTTCGCACGGGGTCAGATGTTTCGCTCCATCACCCACGTAATCCTTACTTGGATCGCCTTGAAAGGAGCTTCGTCCGAGACGTTGTCCTCAATCATTATTTCATAATGCTTCTGTCTCTTCGTTAGCTTCGACAGTGTGAACGGTGAGAAGCATACACAAGAAACAATCGTTTTCTAAAATAGTTGTTTTCAGGGAAATAGTACCTGCGCTATAAAGTTGGACTTTAGCTGGATGTACAGAGCTTTCAAGAAGTACTAAGTAAATACTCAACCAGCGTCTTCCTTGTTACCCTTTCAACAGCGCACGAATGTTTCAAAATCAGAAATTTGTGTGAAGAATTGAGTAGAAAGACGAGCCATTGTTTGTTATTATGTTCTAGTCGCAAGTTGAAGCAGAATTTTTATGAAAAAGCCAGATTTTTACAATGTAACAGATGTTCTTCGTAGTTCTTATGGTGATCTGCTTCACTGCATCTATGACCCGCTCTTGAAAGAAAGCTGTCGTGTCGAATTTATAGCAGATGGGGTGAAGGACGCTATCACCGTGGGGCACGTTCCTCTCGATAGTCACATCACGTAAGACCTTTTGAAATTATGTGATACGACAAATGAATCTCACAACAGAATGAAAACAAGATTTTCCTTTTCCGTTGCCGATGAATACGATTCTCTCACACGGACAGACCGTTTTCTCTCATCTGGGACGCACGACGCACATAAAAAGACAACGAACCGAGAAAGATGGTCGTTCCTGCTCGACTTTTAATCAAACACCAACTTGCACTTTTTAACCCGACTCCCAGTACAGGTTTTCAAGTTATTCTAATAAGGGTTTCGAGTAAACGAAGGAAAAAGGTAAAGCAAGAGCCTAGGTTGGCATGGTGGATAGTAGCACGTGTGCTCACGGAAAATGGCAGTGGAGGGTGTGAAACCCGCCAATGTGGGTTTCCGAATGTTCCTTATGTCTCAGCATCATTGTGCCTATATTTCGCATTATATCCTGCTATGGTAAAAGAATAAGCAGCAAATAAAAGTGGAAACGCTGTGAAGGCAGAACAGTTGATCACCTAAAAATTCTTCTGGCATTCAAAGATACAGATTCAATCGATATAGGCAAGATAATGGTCCGTTATTTTTTTACAAGCCCCGTTATCACATCTACTTTGCGGATCCCAGCACTTCTGGTGTTCAGTTCGTTTCCCTCACATTCACTGTACACAGTGGTCTTTAAAAATTTCACGTGATATCTCAACTATTCCTAAGGATGTGGTCTTTCTTCTATTAATGTCGTAGAGTGTTGGTCGAGTCGATTCTCTTTGCGATCTTGGAGACAGTCGTGCTAGGGCGTTCCTACGTGGATTATTGGAGAGCATTGGGGGTGTTGTCGCACTAGCTCCTTGCATCCTCGCCGATGGCATCACTAGCCACTGCGCTATCCCTTCCCTCTCATCCCCTATGGTCTGTTATTAGAAATAAAAATCTATTCTGTAGTTACGAATGGAGGTGTAATGTCTTTCCGAGGGTAATGTTCCATTTAGAAATTGGCTTACACTTTTTATTACACAGAAGTTCTGAATTTCAGCAGAGATTCGAAAAAGAATGTTATTATTGAGTTCCAAAATAACGTTCTCGTTTCTCCGAGTGTTTTTCCTACGGTTTATTTCTGACCTTTATTGTTCCATAAAAGCGTTCCTAACTGCTTCTTCGACGGCGTTGAAACCTTACCTTTCGTTCGAGGTGCTGTGAGAACGTTTTTTTTAAATAGAACTAATTCTTATACAAGTTGTCAAGTTGTTGCATCTATCTCCACCAACGTTCCCAAGTGGTCACCATCGATCGTGCTCGCAAACTCGGGCTTAATAACGAGCTACTATCGGTTTCAGGTAGAATATTTCAAAGCATTAAATTCGTTGAATGAAATCGGATTGTAGACGAACTACTACTGCAAAAATTCAATCTGTTGATAGACCCGTGACAGTTTAGAAGGTCTTCAACTTCGTTTTACCTTTAGACATCCAAGCGGCCTGCACTGGCTCTTTAGCATAAATTGAGCGAAAACAAAAGTCCTTAAATCTAGCTGTACCAGCTTTATATCACTGTAACTGATTGAATGATTTACAGATCATAGAACTGCAGTATAACTTGTTCAGGAACTTTTTTATTTTTTTAGGTGAAATCCATTTCTTCAGCGATCGTTCAAAACCTTGCGGAAAGCTCGATTTTAACCCTGATGCTATAGTGTCAGTTTCAACTTATCAACTTGGTCGTAAAGGCTTCTGATGAGCTTCAGTGTCACTCCAGCTTCCAACTGCACTGGCGCGTTAGAGGGATCAAGCTGTCGCCGCTGTGGTAACAACAATGTGAGCAGGTTTTTTTCGTTCCACTCTGTCTTTCTTTGGTCGTATGTCTATCGCTC